CTGCATCTGCCCTGTGACAATGTGGCGTTGTGGTAACGTGTTGAGATTACGCGATGCACTGTCGTGGTTCCAGTCCCGCTATGGAGGTTGATAAGACCTAGGCGAGATCGAAACTGCCGTCTACCCTGGACGAGAACACCTTTTTGGAAGACTGGGCTATGTGAAATGCAATGGCAACGTCAGCTCTACCCACAGCATTGTGGAAAAATTAGACTACCAGTCCTTCGTCACCTCAAACGAAATAGTGTGAACACAGATCATATACACGATTGAGGGCTATTACGCTCAACATTCACCTTATTAAGCTTGCTGAATTAGCTGTATCAGTTAGAGCATTGGCCAATTCCAAATGGAAAATCTCATTTTTATCCTCAGTTCATTATGTCTATGAATCAGTAATCCATGACTAGCATAAATGCCCATGGAAGGCGTTAACTTTTAGGCACAAAAACCCTTAGAGGAAAAATAGATCTACGGCATTCTCGTGAGCAGGAATGCTGGTGGCGATGCTTTAGGATGGCTAAGCATGGAACCACTCATTAGCAGTTTTGCTTCCTTCACTCAATATAAATTTAACTTCGGTTGGAATATAGTGCTGTGAGTATCGATTGACATAGATTCATAGCCATCATATTTAATTTCTAGTTTATATATTAAATTTTAATAATTCTTATTTATTTCTTTTTATTTTTATTTCCTTTTCAAACTCCCTTGAATTGACAATGTTATCTTCTTTTTAATTGTAGACAGCCTCGCTCCTCCACCATCTAGTTCTTTGTTGCTCGATCATCTTGGAAAATTTGTTAGTAAACCCCTTGGTTTAGTACATAAATTCGCCACCGGCCTCTTCAGTCTTACTCCGAAGCCAAGAAGCGATTCTTCCGTCCATATAAGAATTTCTGACTCCGTATCCCTACAGCCCTCCATGGACCTCTTCCAAGGGACTGGTGTACCATCGCACAACAGCTCAGATGAAAACTCCTCTTTATTCTATTCATCACCGAATGCCCACCATCTCCAAGCCTGCCTCGAGGGGTCTGACTCCAATGAACTTAGCAACGCAGCTACTGATCCGAATCACTCTGCAACGCACCCTCATAGCCGGGCTCGCTACACCCTTTGTCAATTACTCATGCGACAAGCTGAAAAGGCCAAGTTGCCTCTTTACTCAAAGCCTCAAATGCGTTTCGGCTATCCTACAGCTTCGTTGGCCGAAGCATTCGTCTATTTAGCAACTCGCCTTCCTCCCGTGGATAAATCATCTACTTCTACAACTTTTGAGGCGCGACAGAAACATCGTGACTCGTTGCGTAGGTGGCAAAGAGTTGAATCTCAGAGCAGACCATTCTCGGCAAATCACTACCATAATCAAGAAGTAGTGAAACTTGGGGCAGAAGAGGGAGAGAAAATTATGGAGGAAAGTCAGACTGGTCAAGTAGTTAGCCCAACAGGGATTAGTTATTACCAAAAAGTGAATGAATCTATGGAGGATTTGAGCAGTAAGCATATCCATATGCCGCAGAATTCAAGAGACGAATTACGACGAGACCGACGACAGGCCTGGGTGATGCAGCCATTCTACTATGTTGGAAGGTATTCCACTTTTGACGAACAACGATTCGATGAAGTAAGTATGCCCCTTGCATCATCATATCATGGGTTTTTCATTGGATAATTGGGATACTATGCTTATGGCCTTGACTCATGGGTTTCCATTCACCTTTCTTAATTCATATTGACTAGATTTTCAATAAGGACTGTATTAATCCTCGATTGCATAAGGTTATAAGGCAATGAGAGTTGAATTTTCCTATAATTATAGGACTAGGCCTTGCAATAACATTGAGCTGCTCAATGGCCCTTTGTAAATTTTGGCTCTAATTACGGTCACGCACACCCTTGTTTATATACACTCGAAAAGCTCATCGGCTTAACTAGACGAAATCGGAGCGATGACAGTGAAAAGTCGTTACGCTTTGTTCTAACTGCTATGGGTTATCAATTCTACTTTACTACTTTTTTACATACATTGGCTCATATACGCATACACAGGCACATACACTCAAATTCTTCAAGATTGAAATATGCAATAAATTATGAAATGTATTTACCCTATTTCTTTAAGGTGCTGAAGGACTGATAGTTGACTTTTTCCACAATGATATGAGTAGGCCTTACGTTTTCACTCAATTTCACATAGCTTTACTTCCTAAAAGGTATTATCATACAGAGTTGACTGTGATTTCGACCTCACCTAAGTTGTCTCAAAACCTCCAGTGGGACTCGAACTGTTAAAATGCAGCACTTTTAGCACTACGCAGCACTGCCATGGGTGCCCTTGTGCCATAGAGCAGATGTGCATTTTAAGGAAGGTCAGTCATTTTTCTATAAAGAATTATGTGGTGGGATTGTCGAGGAAGAAAGGTTGTATTTGCTATAGCACTCGATTACGCTACTTATTTTTCGTTGAGGAGTAGGCTTTCGAGATTACCGGTAGATCATATAAATTCTATGTATTCACTCTATTTCGTTAAGCTGATTAAGGACTGGTAGTTGAAGTTTCCAACACTGATGTGATCAGGCCTTAAGTTCTCAGTGAATTTCACATAAGGCCTACTCATACCTGTGTTGGAAAATTCAACTGCCTATTCTTCATCATCTTAACGAAATAGGGTGATTACATCTCATATGTATTCGATCTACTGTTGGTCTCTAAGGCCTACTTTTCAACCGTTTAAAATTAGCAATGTCGAAATTATTTTTGATAGCTTCGGCATCGGTCTCAGCCCGTTCTCATGATCCACGATTAAATGAAAATTCGCATTACTGGAATTGAAATCCCAGTTGGGACGTTGTTGAGAGATGGACTAGTTTTTGCTGATCATTCTGAATTGTATCACATTTTTTGGTTACAACGTATGGATATATTTATGCGTAAAATTAAGGCCTTTCGTTTCATAAAATCTGCCTGCTTACTCAATAAGATTCAATTCTTCTTCACTAGGCTATAATGAATCTTGAATTCAAAGTACGACTCCATATAACCAAACTGAGTTTCGAAGAATCCCTTAGTAGATGCATAATGGCATACCTTGCATTTTGTTTGAGAAGGCGAGTAGAAAGGCTTTGTAGATTGACCTTACCGGATACAGGAGAGTTGCCTTGGACTTTTGGCTGTTTAATTGTGCAAAGAAAACCTCGTCTCATCGTCCTACGACCCCAATCACTCCGTGTTGAGCTTTTCTCTGTCATGTGACGGACAGCGTCCGAGCCAGAAACTACCATTCACGAACAATCACCAAAAAACTTTAAACCTCGTTGTCGCAACTTGGTCTTGTTGTCAGGGAGACTATGTAGAATGCACCGAGTCCGAAGTTGTCGGCCATAGTATTTGTCATGATTCCCAGCATCTGACAGTGGACTTGATACATTCTCAAATGTTTCGCTAGCATCGTAGTCGGCATCATCAGTGAGCTTTGCCATTCTACGCACCAAGCTACTAACTCGTCTTGTCTCTTTGACGAGTTCGTAACTTGGTGCGGAGAATGACAAAGCTTACTGATGATGCCGACTACGATGCCGGCGAAACATTTGAGAATCTATCAAGTCCACTGTCAGATGCTGGGAATCATGACAACTACTATGGCAGACGACTTCGAACTAGGTGCGT